TTTACTAACGGATTTCATGCGAACGTTCCAAATATAATCGATTAGCGTACAATTGATTTCAGCTCATAGGATCCGTATAATCGATTTGATTCGATATATCGCGCATCCCTAGAACATTAGCGAATGTTCCGGCACATACACGGAGGTAATTAAAAAGCCATGAGGGGAATGAAGACGCTGCTCGAATTGCAATCAGCAAGACTATTATAGTTGAATTTACAAATAGAGCAACGGTTATGACTTGAGAAAATAACGGTGAAAAATTGAAGAAAATTGTTTGAGATGAAATAAGAGCAGCAGTTTTCCTAATTGAAAAGGTTCTTCAAATAACTTTTGACGTAACGACCAAAAATATAATAAGGTCAGCTCAAAACTTGAAGGAGATTTTGATGTTACAAACATGATGTATATTATCCCTAATTCCAATCAAAACTTTGATCAAATCCCAAACTTTGGATCGATTGGTATTCATAAGGCATTGTGTAAACAGACTCCCGAATCTGGGGCCAATATTGGACAAAATAATTGAAATAATTGCGTATTCGGGTGTAGACACGATTGCCTAGTCATGACGTTTCGTAAGCACGACCCGGCGGGCACATTCCTTAGTCGGTGCAACGCCCTGGGACCTGTATGGAGTACTGATGATTCGGCCTGGCTATAGGAATGTCCGATCTACGGATATCTTAGACAAACATTGAACTTATTACTGTATTTTCTATGAGAACTCGTTCTCTTGCCGTACATTTCGTTTCAATAAACATTGCTGTAGAAAAAACTAAAATTGTCCTCGATTTTAATCTACTGCTATCACTTTTACTGTAGTAAACCTGCATAATTATATTTGTGTAAAGAAGCAAGTTCTTCCTAGAATTTGTCATTATCAATGTCATACCTAGTTTTTTTAGTCTTTTCATGATAAGATATCATAATTATTTTAATGTTTTTAAAAATAAAATTTTAAACAAAACACCTACTAGCTTTTAACAAAATTTTACTTCCATAAACGCTCATTGATCATTGGTGTAATCTCTCCAGCGCCATAAAACAAATAACAGAGCCAATTACCAGTCGGCGTCAGGTACTTTATCCATAAAACGTCATTTGTTAATCATTACTACCTACACTAGTAGATAAATGGGTACGTACGTACGTGGGCTAAGATGAAGCTATCGAAGGTCGGTGGTTACTTTCAATGCTACATTTGGTTTTAAGGCTTTATGTACGACAATTGATTGCCTTTGTAGACAGTTAGCAAATTAGCACTTTTAACTTTTATTTATTGTTGTTTTACACAACTTATTAGTGGCAGGAAGTACAACTTGAAGCAGTCTTCGAATAATCACAATGATGTAATTTTTTTAGGTAGGTATCTCTCTACTACTAACTACGGGATTGTTTGCAAAATTGGAACACTTACATCTTCTACATACAAGTCAGTCTAAATCTGGATCTACACTACTTTTTTTTTTGAAGCGACGTGCGCTGGTAGCTTGAGGAGCTTTTCCAGCTTCACCGGGCAGAGTGGCGAGTACAGAAGGTAGGTACTCTAGCCGTTTGGCGATCGTCGGTGCGCGTGCCGACGCTAGATTAATTTCTACTAATACGGTTCTATTTATAAAACAAACCAACACTATTATCACATGTTATAAAATAGCCGTAGAAGCTGATAGTGATAAGCGAAAGACGACTTCCTTAAACGGCCTACCGGTACCTATTTAAGGCGTGTTTCCTGTGCACGAGTCGTCTCATCGGACAGGCTTGCGAAACGGAGAACACGTGCGAAAAGGAGGCCGATTGCGCAAGAGTTGGAAGGGTCCGGATTTGGGAACTTATTGATTACTTTTTTGATAAGAAAAAGGCAAAAGGAGCCTCTTTCATTTTGGAATTCATTCAAAATTGCAAGATCCACCGATGACCTTTAAAGTCAGTAAAATTCTATCACTTCAACAATGAATCCCCGGTTCGAATGCCGTTACATTATTAATCCGATCAAACTCAAAGGCTTTGCAAGTCTGACACTCGTACCTAATAGAAGACTAAAAAGTGATAATGCGAAAAATTTTCCAGAACTAATAGTAATTATTAGATTTATGACAAATTTTCGACCATTCGCTATCTATGGTAGAATGTTTTCCGTAAAATGGCTATTTTAAAGATTTATGTTCGTTACGGGTTGATTCTAATAATTTCATTCTGAAGTAAGATAATAAACTCCTAGTAAAGAAACCCGCAGCCGGCTCTGAGTAGTTATCAGCCCTCCAATGCAACTCAAATCCGAACGGCGCTCTACGCTAACGGTACCAGCACTGGGCAGCATTGTTTTGGCCAATTTATACTGGCGTAAAAAACCGTGGAATGTGTTGCGAGAGGCATTATTTTCTACGTTGAGAACACTGCTTATGGCTTTAGAGTAGAGGCTTGTTGAAGACCGTATGAATAATGATCGTAGAGTTCAAAGGTGGCGTGTCTGATTCTTATTAGATAGTTTGGAAGAATTTTAATGATATAAGTACATAGTATACAAGACAGAAAATTATACTATTCACTTTAACATCGGTACTTATAGGTATCAACAATTTGAGAGAAATACTATTAAAAAAGTTGTATTATTAACTATACTGTCTAACTTCAATGCACAACTAAAACCCGATACTTGATACCATTGGTTGATAGAATTTTATGTAAAAATCCCAAGACAGGATTTACGAAATTCCTTGAAATAAAATTAGAGACTAAAATTAGGTACCTAAGCGAATTTTCAAGCTTGATAACATTACTTCAAAGTAAAAATAATGACAAAGACTTCACCTAATACTGTTAAATATTTCAAGAATAGAGTTCACATGCCTCAACCATAGTATTGCGTTAAATACGAACCGCAACTATAACATCTTTCTCATGGCGCAACAAAGACCTTACATTCCAAACTAATACTTCTTCTTTCTGAGCACTAAAACACTTCAACCGAAGCAGGAAACGTTTCATTAGATAACCGAATACATTAGCATCATAATCATCGCAAACAGCCAGTTTCCTTCCACTAAAAGGTAGAAAACACCAGATCATGTTATGCTAAAGAATACAGCTCTCAAGCCAAAGTACAGTTTTCTCGAAATATTCTAGATATAGGACGGAATTTGCATAGGATAACGCTAGACGGATAAGATAAACAGCTCGCTAGATAAAATCAAATCACTAGAACTACTAGATTTAAATAATAAACCGTTTGAACGAGATTGAAATATCAAAGCTAATAATGACATTTTTATCGAAATTTAAATTCTAATGCTTATAAAAAGATAATGAAACTAAGATTGTTGCTTGCGGCTGTTGCAAATTGCTCGCGGAAGGGCTTTTCTCCCATAATCTTAAGTTTAATCAATTGCATCCAATTAAAAATATTGGGGTAGCTGCTGCAGCAAAGGGCTGATACGACACGTAGGATATTAATTTGGAACAAAAACATGTTCCAAAACATAATTCATATTTCATCACAATCCAAGGGGATTGTCCCAGAACAATAGGTACGTTCGAATTCGTTCCTGCGTCAGATTAAAACGCGTATAACGGACACAATAAAATATGCGATTAGCACAATATATTATGGATCGAATGATAAATAACGCAAATCCAAATTATGAAAGGGAAGGCCAATGTCAACGACCTCGCCCTATGGGGACAATGGGACAAAAAGGGGCTAAACCATTTCTAAATTACTGCTCGAATATTGCTGATACGCAGTATTGTGGGCACACGCAGCACACGGTCGATAATGATCATGTTAAACCAGTTACCGGTTTTAGAGTCGGACCTCTGAACCAATTGCTGTTAATAAATTTTACAATATAATTTGCGGTTATGATCTTAACCGTTTTTTGTCATATGTTAAAAGGTACATAAGTTTTTGTTGATGCAATTAAATTAGCAATACTGAGGGATCATTATTGGAATAAAATACATAAATGATTTACATCTCAGAATGCATAATTAACTTCTCATGCTTGTTATCTCAGACTTGAAGTTTTAAAATGCTTAATTACCAACAACGATCTTTTAAAAGCTGTTACTAATCAAAAGGTTAGTAAAACCGTTAAAGGATTACTCATCAACACTCTCCATCATACCACAAGACTTGTACTAACATGTCTCCATAGAGCCATCGCCAAATCAAATTTGTATCGTATTAAGTTTAGTAGGTATCCGGGGTTCGGTAAACCAGAGGCTGGGGAGCACACGATCAATTTCAAGGGCCCCCTCGTCTTGTATTCAAATCCCTTCTTTGTCTTTCTCATTTCATACACTTGGTGATTCACAATAAAGTGGCCCCACGATATTTGCAATCGGATCAATATTTTTGGGATTTTATATCCTTCTATGTTAAACAAATTTGACAAATCTTTTTTTCTGGAACAGACCGGCTGTTATTGAAATCGTTAGGGATTGAAACTAAAACCTTGAAGCAGTTTTTAAAACTATTAACATGCTGTTTAGATGTTTTTATTGAATGAGTTAATATTATGTACCTACTAAAGCCTTAAAACAATTGCAATTAGATCAATATCTTTTAAACTATTAGCTAGCCATGTGTTTTTGACTAGGAAACCCTAGTTCTAATAAATACATTCAAACTAGAAACCTTTGCGGTTTTATGAAAATTCTTCCAAACTTAGTTACTCGTACTTGTATCGTTATCATAAGAGGATAATAAGAAACACTATTTGTTATTGAACAGAACTCAACAACAATGTAACATGATATTTGACGTGAAACAAATAACAATAACAATACAGTATTTACTCAAGTGAAACGTAAGAAACATGCTTCGGACAGCACCGTTACTAATCCTTGAATATGCAATGCCTAGTGCAGTACATAGTCACCGATAACCCTTATCAGCCAACACCGATAAAGAAACTCTGCTGATGATATCATTGAGGACACACAAAATAAAAACGCAAGCAATTAAAAACTATAAAAACAAAACAAAAGTAAATTACCTACTACTGGTAACAAAACACTAGAAATCACTGAGCAACAAAACACAAACGCAAATAAACAGAACCAAGCACTAAAATACAGGAACAACAATTACCGGCAGAACTTTCTGACACTTCACAAATCGACGACAATATCAAATTTTTCGCGTGAAATTTGATATGTGACGTTATAACTACAGAGACGCGACGCACGGACGGCGAGCGGCCCGCTACTGGGGAGCCGACCCGCTGTCCGCACGGCCGCCATCGCCGTCTCACTCTTCTACGCATGCCCGTAATATCCCTTCATCATTTCCACATTCATTCCCTTTTTTCATTACTATACCCCATTTTTCTTGCAAAACCAAAGATAACTGCACCGTTCTGCACCGCATTGGACAATCCAGAACCGAAAACACCTGACGGTCTAAACGCACGAAAGAGACAGCGAGATGCAAGGTCGATCGTGATTGCAACACCGCCTATAGCAGTTAACAGTTCAGGTTTTACACCTGGTTTGTAAAGATAAGGAGATTTAACGTTTCGTTGGGCACATAAAGAAGATCCGATACCGATTTTTGATGCTCGAGGGAAATGGACGACCGTTTTCCTCATACCGTTTGCTTTTAATCTCGATTCTCTAAAATTATTTTCCCCCAGTAAGATTTTTTATGAAGGGAGCACTTTCATCGTTTTGTGCTCTTGAAACTTGGATTTTAATTTTACTTAGGCAAGTATCGAACTCAATTTTTCTGATTGGACTTTAAAGACTCTTTGATGACTTTATAATTGAACTAATACTTTTGTTTGTGATGCTAAATAAAATTGATTTTATAGACCCGAATCACCTAGACACAGTAGAAAAAAAGTAATTTATCCAATAATTATTGCTGTTATAAAATAAAAAGCTTCTTTATAATTACTATGCATCATATCACGTAATTTATAAAATTAGTGACACAAGCTGCCAGTAAGACTTGTAAATTGCAAAATAAAGAACTTCCGAAACCTTTTGCAAAACAAAATTTTACATCCACTTCATTTACTGGTTGAATAGTGCAATATTTCACCACTCATAACAGCTTTCACTGAGACACATATGGATGAAAGTGACACTGTCACAATGCACAATGGAGTGGTCCCAGCGACTGTGACCCACACTTTCGTAGAGAAATGCTGAGCTGCGCATCTTAATGAGCTATAAGCTGGAGACTGGTAGGACACAATACTAAAGTTTGCAAGGGGTATGAAAACTTTATTATTGGTGTTTTATAGTTACAACTATAAAATTATCTCTTTCAGTAACCAAAACTTATAAAAATGATTTAGCAGTGTGCGAAAAAGTACTACTCGAAATTTAGGGTTTGTTAAATTTTTATTAATTCAAAAATGAGCGTCCATAATTTCCAGTTTCAGTTACATAAGTGCTAAAGAATAAGGATACTTCTTTACAAAACATTCCGACTACCGATAAATCGATTCCCTTACAAAGTTCACAAATTACAGTGTATCAAGCTGGAAGTGTGGGCCGATGGCTTCAAACCACCTGCGTCCGTTTATGGTGTTATGGTAATATTACATAACCTGCGACTGGTTCCGACGACTCGCATCGATGGGGGCTTAGGATAAAAACAATGCGGCAAAAGGTGACTTGTTGTTGACGTTTGGGATTAACAAGCAACTTTCATTTTTATTGACACCAAAGATTAAGAATTTCATCACGATCTTATTCCAAGACTTCTTTAGCCAACCATTTCGATGGGAACCGTTGGCTTTAGAAATTAAATGAAAAATTTCAATTGAAAATACATCATCATCAACAACATCATAATTAAATTTCAGCCATAACAAAATAGAAATCCAAATATACTCAAAACATTGAGTACATACACAGATAGATTCCCAGTATCTTTTCTACAAACAAATACAAATTAAGTAACTATCTTTACACAACGTTTTTTGAAGATAAAGCCAATCGCACTGATCTTTTAACAAATAGTTTGACCCTAACGCGATTAAATATAGGCCCTATAATGTATTGGTTACAAATACTCCTTTATTTCTAAACTATTTCCCTAAATAACTATTTCTATGTCCCCAATTAAGTTAAACAAACAACACAATTTAGAATCACGTTGCGAGTTCTGCAATTTATCTCCCGTGGACGTTGTAGCTCATGTTTTTCTTTTTGATTAAATTCGTCGCCGCTGCCAAGAGCTGGCTTTATTTTGGTTGTTTTGGTCTCTTTTACCGTTATTAATTTAGAAGAATTGTCATTTTTGGTAATTGGAATAGCTTTTATAGCTTCAATGAAGAAATAGTTTGTTGTTAAAAGTTCATTGTGACTGAAGATTTGCTTTTAATCTTGTGAATTATTACTGAAAAGACATAGCCTGTATAGTATACACAAACGCTTGTTAAGTGAAGCAGCAAATCGAACGCACATCGTTGAATAGAGTTCTGTGATTGGTTCGTGTCACCCCGTGCGTCCGCGCGCACTGTGAGATCTCATAGTAATATTTAAATACAGGCGTTAGTCTCTTAATAGCTTCTGTATTTAGTAGGTGTATTGTTGTGACCATGGTCTAACAGGTGCAGTGTTTTATCATCTCCAATCCATCTTGGTTTACTGACAATCTTCGTCTTGAAGTGTAAAGTCTCGTAGTTTGTAGCTTTTATTCTTAGTATACTCCTTCTTGCAACCAAATTCCACCACCCCACTCCAGATCAAAATGTTAAGTGACAGAGATTGTTAGTGAACGATTCTCAAATATAAACTTATCATTTTATTTTATATCACAGCCACTAAAAGTCCTTGTAACATTAGAGACACACGATCTAACAGCCCTATTAACTTATCCCAGGGGTATATTCAGGCAGTTTGACCCGCAGATTGGACACCGATATGATTTAGCGGGAAATCCCGGGGGCCAGTGCGCAGTGGCTTGGAATCCTGGATGAGAGTGCTATTTCATAATAATGGAACTAAAAAGCCAAAATTTGAAATGAATCAATTAACCAACCAAGCCAACTTTGTTCACAGATAGCTAATACAAATGTTGTTGGATTATTACGGTGTAAATTAAGTTGTGCATTGCAATCATTTGAATTGTGTTACACGTGTTTTTATATTGTAGTAGTGATTAATATTGATCAAGCGGAATAAATAAGTATCTTTTTTTTAAATTCAAAACAAGGCAGGTATTTGACCACAATCGTTGCTTTAATGCCATTATAAAACAAACCCTTTTTAAAAACTGATACTTTGCAATACCAAAAGCAAAATAGACGATAGCTATAATATATTTAATCAGGTATCAAAGCCAAAATAAATCTCTACATCGCAAATAATCCGCGCCAACTAAAATCACCGCTTACAACCAGTATTACCGAACAAACTCATTTCGGTGGTTTAACAAACAAACAAACGTCGCTTTCAAACAACTAGCGATCTGTTCGAATGTGACACCTATGACCAAAAGCTTAGGGGTGGTATAGTCTTAACTACACATTCAACACTCTGTTGACTGTACGTATATCAAAATATCCTGAAGCTAGAATGTGGTAAAGCATGTTATCCACTGCAGAAAATATTAATACGATCAAATTCAAACGGATGATATAAATACATAATTGAAAAAGCTCACAATCACGAAAATCATCATTCACAATTTGGTTTGTGTTACAACTTTCATCGCCCAGAATATTTGAAAGAAAGGATAATTTTATCAACAAAAGTAATGATTCTGTTCTCTACAACAAAGTTTGTTTTACTCCGCTGCATTTAATATCTTCTAAGAAATTAAAATGATGCTATTTCAAATGAAATATTGCAATTAAACGAATTAATCCAACAAGAGCTTTCTATAGGCCTGTTAAATCATTTTTTTTATTTACTTAAAACATGATGGTATGTAATAGTATAGATTTTTAGATGTGCTCATGTGTAACCTTAACATATTACTATGGCATGCAAATATTTCCAATTAAAGCTTTTACATCAAAGAAAAACTTATATGTACTTAGTAGCTTATCTTAATATGGATAACAAAGCTAAAATTACGCTGCGGAAATGTCTGCCAAATACGCGGAAATATTTGACTGCTACAGTTAGCGTTTAGTACAGACTGCCTCAGGCCCGCTCAATTTGAGTTTCAATCCAAACACTGTAATGGTTTTGCGTAATAGTTTAACTTTGAGCAGAATTATGGACCGACTTTACGTTTCAACGTTCGAGGAATCGCATTCGGGGTCTAAGGAAGTTGGAGCACTGAAGAGATAATAGTATGGTTATTGTTAAAATGTTCATCATCATCATCACCAAAATTTCAGCCACAGGTCGTCCACTGCTCAACATAGGTCTCCCCTAATGATTTCAAGATTGGCCGGTTGGTAGAGCGGCTAGCCAAATTTTAAATCTANCTTCAATAAATATTCCGACAATTTGTAATCAAAAGTTATGCCGTGACTTTTAGGGACAAAAGCTACAATTGTCGGTATAAAGGGAACGTCGCAATCTCAAAGAAGCAAAGTGCTAGAATTACGATACAGTATCAATCTTAATGGCTAAGGATAAAGATATAAGTTTGACATCAATAAACCATCATTTGACTAGATCTACTACATAGTAATAGGGTAGGGTAACTTTTTTATTACCTAAGTTAAGAACATAGATGGAAGCTTATAAAGGCTTCAAACAATTTACTTACACCTTCACTATACTTATAAGTTAACGATAAACCTTTACGGGAATAAATTCTTAAATAAACCATCGTTGAGGGTCCTCAAGTCATCCGATATTTAGGACAAAACTATTGATAGCGTACTTATAGTCCAGTCATTATAGTAAGTTCACCTCGGAATTCGAGATACCCAGCTGTAAGTCTGTAAATACTTGTATATTGACACCCTAAAAGTTGTCTCAAAACCTACATATGGTAGGGTGTAAGCAACTATTAAATTTCAAGGTCAACGGTCACAAAAATCGGTTTTTTGCGCTTTTTTTATAAATATCTCATTTCCTATGGGTTTTTTGCTATTTGTATTTATTATCAATATATTGTAGAATACAAAATTCTCTACAAATTTTGTTTAAAAATTTTTTTTATACGGTGAACCGTTTTCGAAATAGAGGGCGGAGAGCGCGCGGTCACCGCATCGAATTGTATTTAGCAAATCTTCTGGCGCAGGTGGTAAAATTGTCCAGGCTCCAGAAAATCGTTTCGCATTGCCCAACCC